GAGTGTGTAAAAATGAATCCCACTTAGAGAAGATCGTAATTGCCAAGTCAATCCCACTACTTCAGCCTCACATAAAAGGCCATAGCTTTGCCCCAAGCAACAGTTTATCTGGGGAGTGGGTGGTGTGATGTTGGTTCACATACCATCCTGGTTGAATAGACATCAAGCTTATTCAAGTGGATTTTCGTGCCTTCTTACCATGATGTCTGCTTATTACTGATTACCTCACCTGGCTGACTGACATGCTCTGATCGTACAGTTGGATTAACGTTCATGGTTTTAGTTTTAGGAAAACAACTCCTTGGGAGTTGTTTTATTTTAATTGTTGAAACCAAGATGAAAAGGGAAGGGAAATTAATATTTCATCATTCTCTATTATGTGTCAAGTATTAGATACATGTGCATCTGTTATTTTTTATGTAATCTTAATATCAAACTTTCAAAACGGTTGCTATTAGCCTCATTTTACAAGGTCACACAAGGAAAGAAAATAGAATTGTCCCTTTATCAATGATTCAATTGTTTACACATGTAAATCAGAGCCCAATGTTAACCATTTGTTCCTGTCAATCAAGAAATTTATACCTGAACAGGGGATACACTGTAAAAATAAGGACGTTGCTTAATTTAGTAAACAGATATAGAAGCTTACGCTAAATCAGATTGCACTAGGTATTTGAGATTCAAGAAATGAAAACAATGGGGAGTCATTTAACGATGGTTATGCCCTAGAAAAATTAACTCAGTCTGTTCTTGGAAATTTCTCTTTCCTAAGCCTATTAAGTGTCATATGTAGCAATATAATTGAAAATTCATTTAAGAGACACATTTAGTGACTTTCACTTACTAACAAATATGTATTGATCTTCTTTTCTCCTTGGATGATCTAGATTAGTTCTGTCCAGCTGAACTTTCCATGATCATAGGATTGTTCTGCATTATGCTTCCTTAGCCACTAGCCATGCATGCCTTTTGGATACTTGAAAGGTGGCTAGTGTGACTGATGAACTGCTTTTTGATTTTATTGAATTTTAATTAAATTTAAATATCGGCAGGTAGCTAGTAGCTACTGTATTGGACACTGCAACTCTAGAAGACATGAATAAAGAAAACACAGTTTTCGACATCATGGTGGTTTTATAAGTGTTGTGGGAGGGTATAAACAGTGATGCTGAATAAATCACAAATGATTCAGTGATGGGGAGAAGTCAGAAATAAGGGCTCTGAATGAAACTGCGTAAGTCTGAATTGCAGTTCTGTTGCTAACCCATTGTGTGTGCTTCAGGCTGGTGTTTAATCCCTCTATCACAGTTTCAGTTCTGTATTACACAACAATAAGATATACCTTATAGAGTAATTATAATATGAAGACAAACTGAGATAATACATTTTAAGAGTTTAGCATCGTATCTGGCACTGTGTACATCAAGAGTATAGACTTGCAGTTAGTTATCTGATAAAATGATAATGCAATGTCTTACTGCATGACATGCTGATAAAATGGCGATTTTATCCAAATTGTTCTCTTTCTGATGGAGATGTGATTTCAGACTAAATATTTGGGGTACTATTTTAGAGCTCATCAGAGTAACTAACATTTTTCTCTTGAAAGAAAATCTCTCAAGAGAGAAAATAATCTGGTCTTCTCTAGGAAGGTTTTTGTACTTGAAGGTAGGTGTTTCAGTCTATCAGCTCTGTGTTCTGTAGAAAACTGTTGGTATTTGAGGTACCAGTGGGCCTTCGGTCAAGTCACTTCATTTTGATAGACTAATCAATAGAGGCGAAGACAAGGTAGTTGGAATTGTGCTGTAATTCATTTTAAACGTTGTTGCATTTGTCTGTTTCAGTTACTGGCAGAAGAGTTGCCCCTGCGCCAGGGAATTCTAAAACAATTAAATGAAACCGGAGGAACAGTGCTTGTAAGTGCTCCCATAAGCCCAGAAGAGCAAGATAAACTTGAAAATAAGCTCAAGCAGACAAATCTCCAGTGGATAAAGGTTAGACATTAACCATCTTCTCTGTCACTTGTGTTAAATGTTGCCAGTGTTTGTGTTTGTTTTGTTTACTGAGTGTTTTATTGGTTGGGGAGGAAGCTGGTATATGGATTTTTTTTTTAACCTGACTCTTTTAATTGCCTGTATGTTTTCTTCTGCGTGGAAAAAATATGATGGTGAATGGCTTCATATTAAAGACCAAATGCTAAAAAGTAAACCACTAGTTTTGTGTAAATTATTCTAAAGAATAAGACTAAAAACAGTGATGAATTAATTCAATGTTCATCTCTATACTGACAGCATTTAAACAAGATGGATGAGATCAAGTTCATAATCTATCATAAATAAAAATTACTTATGTAAGTAATTTTAAATATAGACTTATATCAATAACTAATGCAGGTTAACCATCTCCAAAAACTGCTTTATTTATTTGTTTGCCTATTTACTCAATCTGTGAGTCTTCACCCATCTTTCCACCTCATATATGTTCTAAATCTAATATTAAAAATGTTTACTGGGGGGCCGACAGGTGGCATGGTGGTTAAAGGTGCTGGGTTCCCATATGGCCAACCATGGTTTGAGTCCCAGACCCGGTGGCTTGCTTTTTTCCCTTTCCCTTTTTCTGTCTCTCTCTGGTCAAATTTAAAATAATAATAACAAATGGAATTGAATAAATAAATAATCCTTTAAAAAATGTTTATTGAGCCAGCAAGTATGTGGTAGTTAAGGCAACTGGATTCCACATGGTCAGTTTCACTGTTCAAACTCTGGACCAGCAGCTTGAAAACACATTAGACATTAGACGTATGTGCCCAAAATCCTGAGAGGAGAATAAAGAAGGGATTATGGCATGGCCATGGCCATCCCCCTGGACAGTTTCTCTCTCTCTAGAAGCAGACCAAGGTAAGGGTCGGAGAGGACAGTGCCAAAACCCCCATACCGGTACAGTCTCTCTCCTTCCCCCCTCTCTCTGGCAAGTGCACACACCCTACAGCAAAAACTTAAAAAAGAGTGTTTATCAAATTAATAGATGCTCATTATTTTGAAATAAGTGGTACATATAAACTTATAATGAAAGGAACGTCAATTGATCCTACACCATTCACTGAAATGCAGTAAGTTCCTCATTGTACTGCTGTTACACTTCTGTCCTTAATCCAATGAAACTTTATTTATTAATCTGCTTCTGGTTTCATTACCCTCTTCCATTTGATTACTTATGTCCTTCAACCAGTACCACATTGGCTTAATTATAATTACATTGTTTTTCTTTCATGAGAGAGAGAGAGATACAGATACAAAGGGACTCTGTTGGGGGAATCCCATCCTCCCTCTCTCCATCAGCCTTCCAGCAAGCCAGGATCACATGCAAACCTGGCATGTTCAAGTTAACCTGGAATTCAAACCCAGGACCTTTCCATATGGCTCTAACATTGCACAGTGATGCCCTACTACCTGAACCACCACAATTGGGCCACAATCTTTTTTAGCCATTTCATTGAGATATAATTCACATGCCATTAAATTTACCCCTTTTTTGTATATTAATTTTCTTAAGTTTCAGAAGTTATGTGCACTTGCCAGAGCCAGACAGATGGGGATAGAGAAAGAAAGCACACCTTCATAGAGCATGGTTGCACCACAATGCTTTCTCCATCCTGTGAGATTTGGGGGCATGCACACATATTTGCTTAGCATATATGTATTTTTTGAGAGGTTTTTGCTGTAGGGCACATGTGCTCACCAGATAGACAGAGAGAGATAGAGAGACAGAAAGCAAGAAATCGCCCCCCAGGGGGGATGGCCATGCTGCAATCCCTTCTCCTCTATTTTCCTCTTGGGATCTTGGGCACACACGCACACGCACCTGGCATGAGTTTTAAGCCACCGGGTCCAGGACATGAACCACGGTCGACTACATGGGAGTCCAGCAACATAGCAATTACGCTAACTGCTGGTCCCTCTGCTTAGCATATTTTTCAAGCTGCTGGGGTAAGGGTTCAAATTGCAGTTAGCCATGTGGGATCTGAATCCCTGAACCTCCAGGCTACTGAGTGACCCTGTTTAATTTTTTAAAATTATGATAAAATACATATATAACATAAAATTTGTTATTTTATCATTTTAGTGTATAATTCAGCGCCATTTATTATGCCCATTGGTACCATCTATTTTAACAAAATGTAATACCCCAATCACAAACTCTGAAGTAATGTATATTAAGAAGTGGCTCCCTGTTCTCCTCTTCCAGCCTCTGGAAACCTCTAGTCTACTGTCTTTCTGTAAATTTGCTTACCTTATACTTTTCTCATAAGTGGAATTATACAATGTATGTCTTTCTTATTTCACTAAGCATAATATTTTCAAGGTTCATCGATCTTGTAGCATGTTTCAGAATTTTATTCCTTTTGTGACTAAATAATATTCCATTGTATGTACATATATAATCATTATATTTTTAAAAAATGCTATTTGGCAGTATAAACTCTCCAATTTTGTTCTTCCTATTCAAGATTGCCTTGACTATTTTGGTTCTTTGAATAAATTTTAGAACTGGCTTGTCAATTTCTACTTGAAGACTGCCAGGATATTCATTGGAATTATGCTTAATTTATAGATTAATTAACATCTTTACAGTATTGAATCATCTAATTTGTGAACATGGCCTATTTATTTTAGATAGTCTCTAATGAAGATTTAGCACTATTTCACAGTTTTTGGCCCAGAGATCCTGAACATGTTAGATTTAATCCCAGATATTTGATGGCTTGATACTATTATAAATAAGATTCATTTTAAACTTTGTTTACTATTTGGTGGTCTGTAAAAAATATAATCAATTTTTATACATCAAGCACATACCCAGTGACCTTCCTAAATTCACTTATTAGTAGTATGTAGGATCTTTTAAGGTCTTATATGCATATAATCATGTCATCAACTAGATGCAGGTTTTTTTCTTTTTAGTTCTGAGGATTTTCCTTTTCTTAATCTTTTATTTGTTTATTTTTTGCTATATCGCTCAAGATAGGACCTCCATAGCATTGTTAACTAGGTGCAGTGATAATGGGAAGCCTTATTTTATTCCTTGTCTCCAGTGGAAAGCTTTCAATATTTATCATTAAATATAGTGTCTGTTCTAGGATATTTTTGTCTTCTTAACCAGAGTAAGGAATTTCTCTTTATTCTCAGTTTATTAACTTTTTCATTGTGAATAGGTATCAAACATAGTCAAGGGCTTTCTCTGCATTTATTAAAATTATTGTGATTTTTCTAGTTTTGTGTGAATGTGGTGAATTACAGTAATTGAGATTTGAATATGAAACCACTCTGCAATTCTTGAAATAAATCTATTGGTCATGATGTACTATATACTTATAAATTACTAGATTTAACTTTCTTTCTTTCTTTCTTTTTCATTTCTTTTTGTTTTTGTTTTTGAGAGAGATTTTTGCTATAGGGCACGTGTGCTTGCCGAAGAGACAGAGAGACAGAAAGAGAGTAATTACCCCCTTATGGGAGATAGCCATACCACAATTTCTTCTTCACTCTCCTCTCAGGATTTTGGGCATGCCCACACATGCACCCAGTGTGAGTTTCAAGCTACCAGGTCTGGGAATCAAACCGCGGTCAGCCGTGTGGGAGTCCAGCGACATAACCATTACACCATCTGCTGGTTCCCTAATTTGCTAATTTTTAAAAAGATATTTGTATGTTTGTTCATGACAGACATTGGTCTGTAACTTTTCTTCTGATATCCTTCTCAAGGGTTGAGGACTATACCCACTTTTATTTTTTTTCTGCAAGAAATTATTGACAATGATATTATTTCTTCTCAAGTTGTCTCAAAAAATTCAATCATTAAGCCGTCTGTGCATGAAATATCTTTGTAAGAAATTTTTTCATAATGGATTTAGTTTCTTCAATGTAGAAATAGTACTTTGTGTGTGTGTGTGTGTGTGTGTGTGTATCTGTTTATGTGTCTCAGTTTTATAATATATTTTTTAAATAATTTGTCTATTGTCTTATCATGGAGGGGATATAGGCTTTCTTCATGCAGCTAGTGATGTTTTATATTATTTATATATATATATATTCATATATATACTATAACATATATACACACACATGAAATACACACGCATACACACACACACTAATTGAGAAATTAGAAAGACAGTAACAGAGAGCTCTGAATACCTGAGTGGTCTTGCTCACTGGGATATTTTACTCTATTTACTAAGGCAGAGAGCTGAGTCTCCTG